GAGAGTATGGATATGATTCTAATGTTCTAATGTAATACATGAGTTACGTAATTTTTAAAATACTATACAATATTTGATCTTGAATGACCTATTTGTGGCAATCTGACCAGGTAAAAACTGGTAATGGTATGGTATATATATTGAATGACCTTAAATGACCTTTTATGATCTTAATGACCATCCGACCATGTCAAGTGTTATAAATCCTTGACCATGAAATATAATTTTAGGTATCATAATTCTCATTAAAGTGGTTTAAAAACCGATATATTGATAAATATAGGTTTTGCGTGGCAGCAATTTTGAAATCCAAGATGGCCGCCAGAATGACCTCGAATAAAATATTGTGGTTCATAGTAAAGATTTTGAATTCTGAGAGGGTATGGTTCTAATGTAAAATATGACAATTATGTAATTTTTAAGATACCATACAATATTTGACATTAAGTGACCTTAAATTACCTATTTGTGGCAATCTGACCAGGTCAAAAATAGTATGATGGTTTTCCTTGACCATATAAAAATAGTTTCAGACATTAGAATTATAATTCCAAGTGGTTTAGAAGCGGAGATATAGATAAACATAGGTTTTATTAGGCGGCCATTTTGAAATCCAAGATGGCTGCTATACTGACCTCGGATGAGGTGGTTCCTACCAAAAATTGAATGCTATGACCATTAGGAGCATGTAAAAAAAAATTGGTGCTTTTGTCCGGAACGTCCACATCCATCTGCTAAGCTGCCGGACTACTTTAACTACAATTAATAATATAAGCAAAAAACAAATTTGTAAAACAGGTTAAAGACCTCTAAAACAGAATCAAGACTGAGTATAGATTAGAGTATAGCGTATCAATAATCCATTTAGTTCTGTCATATTTTGTCCCTACTTTTAGATAATAATAATAATAATAATATTATTATTATTATTATTATTATTATTATTATTATTATTATTATTATTAATAATAATAATAATAATAATAATAATAATAATAATAATAACTAGACTTACTGTGTCTGTTGGTACAACAGAACATACCCTAAGTAATTGAGATTCGAACAACTGCTGCACTGGTAATAGTGAGGTAGGCTCATTTGGAGACTCATAACCATTGATGATGATGATGACAAGGATGACTAATCGTAATTGTTATTCGATGAAGCAATATTTTGTTCGTTTTCCTAAAATTGAATTGTATTGTGTATCCATTTTGTTTCAGGAACCCATTGGACGACAGAAATTATGAAGAATATTGTTTGTGGGGGAGACCTGCAAAAGGTTAAGGAATATGATCATACTCCTCATTTAGAATTCTTCAATTTTTTTCAAAAAATGTGACAGCTTCCCGACAGATAAGCCGAGTCATGATGACTCATGTTCCCGTGGATATCCTACCAAAAGAAGTGTTTGAGGGTAAAGGAAAGGTGAGCCGGCCATCGTCTTTATAAAGTCGCGTTTACACTTGCTGAGTCTCCTACTTTGAAGTGCGTATGCGTAATTACGTGACGGCGTAGTAAAAAAATTGCTAATTTACATACGTCATAATTTAATAGTTCAATCAAGGACTTATAACTGTTACTTGTAACAGTTATAAGTCCTTGGTTCAATGTCATTATCAACAATATAAACGAAATTAGTTTCATTGCAGCCGTTCAGTCAATAATAAAGCGAGATCATTATTTCATGTTATTATGAATAGGCCTATTCTCATTATTTATCGATGTAGGTTGTGTACGTTGGGCGAAATCCAAAAGATACGGCAGTTTCCTTATGGCATTTTATAAAAGAGCGACGATTCCTGGAGGAGTATGAGAAATGGGATAACTTTCTAGCAGCATATTTAAAACCTGACAGTGAGTAGAACGCAGTATATAATATTTCATGTTGTTAAGACCAGTAATAATATTCATATATTTGACCGTAAATGTTTTAGTAAAATAATATTTGTATTATCAAAATCATTACCATTATAGGACTATCACCATTACTATCAGTCATAATTTTCGTCATCGTCGTAATTATTATAATCATTATGGTAATCATTATCATTATCGTCATTACTGTATAGTCTTCAATATTGACATCATTATTATTATCGTCATTATTATCATTATTGTCATCGGTACCAGAGCTCCTAATATTTACATTTTTGCTGGCATAAATAAATGTCCCTTTATCTATTCATCTTATTCAAGAAGGTAGAAATAACAAAATCAACGACACAAAAACATAAACAATTAGCAGAATGAAACTAACAGTCAAACGGCAACAAAAACACACAAAAATAAAAAAGAATATAATAAATAGTTCGATTAAGATAATATTTAAGAAATTTTGAAAATGGGAATAAATAGACACTTATTTCTAAAAATTAAAACTTTTACAGTGAAGATGATCATGGAAAATGGAAGCCGAAATTGTGATCTGTTATTATTCTGTTCAAAATCATTTCCGTATCCCTATGGAAAAAGTAGAGATTAGTTTCATCATTATTTCAGTGATGTGTGGATCTTGGATTGATTTCAACCTGAAGCTTAAATTTGGGGGAAAAAATGCTTGAGCACATGATCTGTTATTCATCTTCATATTCCTTATGACGGAAATATAGTACTGTAGATTGGTTTTATCATTATTTCAGTGATGTATGGATCTTGGTTTGATCACAACTTGAAATACTATGAACACCGTGATGCGAAGAATTTCTTGTTCCTAACTTACGAAGAAATGAAGCTCGTAAGTATGCGACATACCGGTATTATTACTGGTAGTTGCTAAATACAACGGGTAGCCGAGGGGGCGTGGCTTTGTATGTTGACATCATGCATCCAGCTATAGTTCATCTATCTCCTATCTACAAAGAGTGGGCCCCATGTCTGTAATCACACAGCATAATTTAAAATTACAACTTTTACAACATGACTGCTGAAGTTAAGATTTATTTATTTTTAGTGTTTCACTGCTTTGAAACAAAATCGCCGGCTATATTCCAGAAAAAGAGAATGGAATGTTAATAATATTTATTTCACTTTTCTCTGTAATGTATTGTAATGTATTGAGTAAAAGTGTATTAAATAATAATTATAGTGCAGATGTAGTCTAAGCCAGGGTCTTACAACAGATTCTGCATAGGCAACTTAACGTAGGCCTAGGCCTAAATGAGGCCTAGACAGACTGCTGCGGGTTGCTGGAGGCATTAGTCTAGGTGGTCTGAGACTACTACTGAAGAAGCCTCCTGGTTCAACGTACCTAGAGGGACCTATGATCGTCTGCTAAATGGATTCGATCGACTCGTGGGCCCGATCGTCCGTCACACCGCCGTATGTGTGACGGTATAATTATACATGACGTCACCATACAAGCCACGCCCCCTCGGCTGAACCCGTTGTACTTAACAACTACTGTAATCATCACTCCTCCGATAACGAACAAAAATCTTCATTGTTGTGTTATTACGCTCTTAAATTTTAGGATCATAAAGGATGTGTTATTCAGCTTTGTGATTTCGTTTCTCGTCGCCTGACGGATGAACAAGTTGACCTAATTGTGAATAATACAACATTTTCCAACATGAAATCGAAATTTACTGATAAGTTACCGGTCGGCATTAAACAGCTTGGAAACCTTCCTAAAGTAGCCGCCAGAGGTGATCCAAATCAGAAGTTTACCATTTTGAGAAAAGGTATGTTCAGTTAATTTAGTCATTCATTTTCTGATTAAAAAAAAATAAATACATAGCTTTTTCAAAATATGATACGTCGATTTGGGCAAGTACCGGTAAAGAATTTATAAGGGTCAGGTAGGTGTACTAATAAGCGTACAGGTACATGACTGGCTATTTCTGTGAGTACAGTTGCTCACATTCATTTGGAAATGTAAACAGCCTGATTTTAACCCTAACCTGTAATTGGCTGTACTGGAGGGCGTAGCCTCAGCGCGCATCAAATACGCGTATTTCGGTTGCTCAGCTTGCTTTTTTCGTGTACCTGAAATTATAATGTTTATCATCTTCTTTTTATATCTCTTCATTGTAGGTGTTGTCGGTGATTGGAAGACACAGTTTACCGTTGCTCAAAATGAGATATTCGACGAAATTTACAACGAGAAGATGAAAGGATCTTCTTTGAGGAGACGAATACTATTTTAACTTTATTCTTGAGTTGTCGTGAAACCTGGTCATTTTATATCAATTCATTTACTACAATGCTAATGCATAATTAATAATTGCTACTATAGGTTGCCAAAATAATTGCGATAATTCTTTTATTGGCCTTCTCACCAATATTTAGTCTAAATGATATCGATGACATTACGTGATACAGTTTATATATCGTATATTGTATAAATATATCCTGCTGTTATTTTGTTTAAATTGTAGGTAAAGGAATGAGGGCTTCTGTTATGAGTCTATGGGGCTTACATGGGGACTCTAAATTGTTCACTTAATAGTTTTAGCACGTAGTCATACTATGATGGAATTGATTCTTTTCTCTTTTTGTATTAATTGACCTAAAAACGAACTGATATACACAATTAATTATAACAATTATTTGCAATGTAAATATGATACAACTATAACATGGATTTTTTTTTCATCTCATTTCTATAGGCACGTGCGCCATGGATATGCCAATCAGTGAACTTAATCAGTATCCTACGTGGCATATCCATTAAACGACAGGGGACTGAATGGACTAGTACACCGGAGTAACCACTACTCTTCTCCAAGAGTGTACGGTTCTTTATAGTATAGTATAGTCTAGTCTTTATGGGCCTACGGTTTAAAGTCCTTAACCATGAAGACTTGTTCCACCACCGGAACTATTTGCCTGTGCCTCTCCGACTTCCATGTGTAGTGAGTTTTATTGACACTGCTTGATGATCTGTTAAGATGGCTGGTGTAATATCATATGATAGCATTTCATCAAAATTAACAGCATTTTTAGTAACCATCCAGTAATCTAAACGCCTATATAGGTGCTTTGATTTTCTTCTCCGTGTGAATTGTATTTTGTTTGCATCAAAATGTCTCCAACACTCTCCATAACTCATACAAAAGTGCAAGTGCACCTCCTAGTTCCACAGAAAAAAAATTCATTAAGCCTATGTTTGACTGTTAGCGTACGCAAAATCAATATTGACTAGCGTGTGAAGTGTTTATAAGGGAAATCGATTCACCATTGCTCTCCCTCTCTCTGTCTGATGAGACGTTAAACCCCTACACTTTTCTACAAAGAGCAGGGGTTGCCCATGCCCTGGTTGTACTGCCAAATACGTCATCAAAAGATCTCCCCATTGTAACACTGTCTAGCTATCAAATTTTATTTCACAAAAAGCTGTTGTATAGGCCCTGTCTCTTATACACATCTAGATGTGTATAAGAGACAGGGCCTAGACAGACTGCTGCGGGTTGCTGGACGCACAATTATAGAACTAGGCCCCAGACCTGAAAAGACCTCCTGGTCCGACCAAGCCCAAGCTTTGTTAGAGGAAACCTAGACCTACGAACGTCCATAACTTAGGCCAATCGTTTGAAAATGGACTCGATCATCCCTCACCCAGCCCGTAGCAGCAGCACAAGAGAAAACTAAGCTTAAGCCTCAGCCTGCTCGCCTTGCTAAATTCACATTGGTTACACAGTTACGTTTTTAGGTAGACTGCATAATCATACCTGACGTCACCAAATACAAGCCACGCCCCCTCGGCGACTGAACCCGTTGTATTTAGCAACTACCCCACCACACGGTTGTCACAGTAGCAAATTGAAGTGTTGTAGGGTTCCGTACTCGCGCGAATAAGCGCCCGGGCGCCTAAAATATTTTTTGCGCTTTCTGGGGGGCGCTTATTCAAACGGGGCGTTTATTTAAACGGGGCGCTTACGAAAACAGAGTGGAAATTGAGGGGGCGCTTATGGAAATAGATGAAAATCGAGGGGTTCCTATGGGAAATTATTGAATTCGAGAGGCACGGCACTTTTTGAATGAAAAGGACATTACGAATGGTGGTTAGGCGGAAAAGATAATCCTCCAGAGAACGTGGCTCATGACAAGAATGCGTGAATATTTACATAACAGCAAAATAGCAGATGCAATTAATGGTGGTGGGTAGTAGTAGTTAGCTTGTTGGCCATCGGCCGATTGAGATTAGCAGGATGGCAGGATCATTGTATTTTTCCTTGAAAACTCAGATGAGAATGTGCTAAAGGTCGGAAAAAAGAAAAAGAGGAGGA